GCTCTAGCTCAGATATTGGAGCTCTGAACTGCATAGTACATAGTTGGGCCATTTCTAAAAATAGGTTCACATTTGGAATATGTTTAATGATATCTTAATTCAAGGCCTTATTAAAGCACATCAGAGATAATATCTATGATTATGTTCAAATGTACACTAAAATAGTGAATTAATGGCGTGGCAACGATCGCCATTTTTTCGTTGTAACATCTTTAGTTAGTAAAGTTTGATTAGAGGATTCTTTTGAGTTTTGTTTTTGTTTTTCTCTTTGCCCTCCTCTACTAGGAGAAACTTGCTGATCATCTTCTTATTAAATTAATTCTTGTATTATACATTAATCATTCCCTTCTCAAGCAAGAAGTGCAAGCATTGGAAACTGGCACGTATTTCTCGTATGTTTGGCTTATTTTTACTGTATTTAGTATGACGATGATATGAAATGAACGTAAATGAAGAAGCGTGGATTCATATGGACGTTGTTTTCAATATTTATCTGATTGATTTATCATATTGACGTTGAAAGTATCAATATTCGACATATCCTTGCTTTCTTTTGCCAGACTTATTTTAAGAATTTTACACAAAATCTTAGGTATGTAAATGTAAATTCTGGACTTGCAATGATGTGACAATATACCAAAAAATTGGAGTATTGGAAAGCAACAACACAAATGAGATCTTCTTGGTCTGGAATTGTTCTTTCCTTTGTCAAATCACATTCTTTCATCTGAAAAAACCAGAAAAAAATTATTTGCGAGGATCCATCAATATTTGCTTTGGTGTACACCCTCCAATCATATACTATACAAAACAATGATAGGACACAAGTAAGTTGATAAAATGTCCTCTTTCTAGCGGTTTAAACCTTAAATGGTATCAGAGTGACACATATGATTCTTTATTTATCTTGTGTTTGGACCCTATAATGTGTTGTCTACGCTCGTTTGGCCCTATCTAGGCATTGGATTTGCTATGCATCTAGGTTCACCCACGCTCTGTATTTTCAACGTTGAACTTAAATATGTTTGTTTGTGGAAACACACTTAAAAGAGCCTTCGATTCAGGATTTGTCTAGTTTAAATTCTGAATCGGCATTATAGGAAAGGACATAGAGAAACAAACATTGTATAAAACAAAGAGTTGATGGTCAAAGCACAAATAATATCCTTATAGTGGAAAAACTTTCTTTTTCTTGTTTTGCCCACTAAGCAACTTGAAACCTACATGCCCTTCTTTTTTTTCCCTTTTCTCAAAAGACACTATGAATTATAGGATGGCAAGACAAGAAACAAGCAAACATCTCTTATCTTTAGCTTATAATATATGAGTGTATGATGAATAATTATATTCTATACATAAAATATGAGTGGTGTTTAATTTTGGTGGAGAAAAAGAGTATGGCCACTCAAATAATGGCTCTATGATTGAGATGTTGACCTTAACTAAGTAGCCAAAATTCTTCTTGTGGTCTAACCATGTTCTCCAAAATGGACCACTTGGTACACGTGTGTTTGGCCCCACCTACCCCACCACCCCCAATTCCAACCCTTACCTAATTGTTCTATATTTTTTTCTGACTTTTGAGTAGTTATGACTAAATTTGGATCAACATAGTATGATTTGTTTGGGTGATACTCTCAATAGAATTTTTTTCTCGAACTCGAAAATTTAGAGTAAAATAGTCTCATTACCGCACCACACCGCATGGATCAAACTCTCTTGCTACGACTTTCCTATGTTCTTTTTGGTCTTCCTTAACTCCCAACTTTAATTTTAATGCTCTTTACTTTTGTTTCACTCTACTGTCTTTTAGGCACTTTGTATCATATTATGCTCCACTTATCTTTTCATATAAAACATCTACCTTCGTTAGAAAGAATTTATAGTTATTTTGGTATGAAATGAGGTTTTTTTTTTTGGTTGATTTATGCAAATGTTACTTAATTAGGTTATCATTTAAACTTTATTATATTTTAGAAGTATGGAAATATAGTCCTTGGGAAATTATACTTTTGAACATCGTTATACTTTTAGAATTAATATTAATTCATATATTAGTCAACTTCACATACAAACATTAGATTGTTGATTGTTGTTTAGCTATAACTTACAAAATGTTAAGATCATGGTCTAATCATTGTAACGTTCTCCCATAAGATTTTCAGATTGTTCAAAATGGATATTTAGATCAAGATTCGAGAGTTTCATAAATCATAAAAAAATAGTTATTTATTAAATCAACCCTTAACTACTACGAGTAACTCGAATTCACATCAGACAAATCAATTTAAAAGGATCAACTCTTTCTATTAAAGTATTTACCTGGCTCAAATCTGAAACGTCTGATTGATTATCGAAAAAAAAATGGACACAACATATGGGGCCAATAAGATGAGGCATAACATGCAACCCTTACGTGCATTAACTATATGGTGTTTTGTTCAATTCGTCTAGATAGATTGAACCTTTTGAAGTAGTATATACTATAGTATCCGTTAATATTAGAAACACATTTTTCTATTTTTTGTTTGTTAGGCAAAATTTCAAGTTGAAAGGTGAACCTAGAAGCTCTAAAAAGTCACAGATTTAATTAAATGCCATTCGAGTTGTCTTTTGAAAAATAGATTTATGACAATTTTTGGTAGGGACATTATATATGAATAAATCATTTGCATTTAATATTATTGATTGGCGTTACTGAGACAAAATATCTACTCGTATCTAAATTTGTACATAAAATAAGTGTACGTACTATACATATAGAGAGTGACATTATAATTATAATATTTTATATTCAGTATATGCCACCTAACTTGTCTATCATTATAGTGAATCCTTTCACGGGTTCTCACCATTTTATTCTTCCCAACAATATTCCTAAAAGATTTTTTTTAAAATTATTTAGACTCGATAATCTGTAAGGTATTAGTCGTATACTTGTAGTTCTTGATTTTTTCTGTCTATCGTCATGTGTTGTTTATTTTGTTTTGATTACCATACTATTTTGTTATTGGTATTGCTTCTTTTGTCGACTGTACATTGCTTTGCTTATTTAATTGTTATATTTTATTCATCTTCTTTCATTTGAGTTTGATATACTTGAGCTAAGAGTCTTTCGGAAACAAGCTCTCTACCTCCACGAGGTAATACTAAGATTTGCGTACACTCTAACCTCCGCAGACCCTATTTAGTGGGATTTCACCGTGTTTTCCGTTGTTACATAGATATCACACATCACGAATTTAAATAATAAACCTACGAGAGAAATATAATATAAGATAAAACTATTATAAAAAAAAATAGGGTATAAATAAAACTATTAAATGATATATAAGATAAAATATTAAAATATATTAAAGTAAAGATGCAATCTTAGATCGTTACACAAAAAAGGAACTTCAGACAAGGGATTGTTAAGCCAAACTTTAGCAAACAAAATGTCTGAAACTTGGATTAATCTAAGTCAAACTTAGATAAAAATGATTGAAGTTAGCTTGCACAAGCAAATATCAAATGATTAAATGCGTATTACACATGTAAATCAAATGATGGTCCTAAAATAAACTATATGTACACTTGCCCCTATAAACTTGTGTATTTATTGTACTCCCTCCGTCCGAAATTGTTTGTCTGCGTTTATCATAAGTCAATTTAAATAATTTTCAAAAGTAAATTAGATTACGTTAATTCGATAGTTTAAATATAAAATTTTTTAGATATTCTAAAACTATATGAAAAGTACTATAAATTACAATTTTTTTGCATATTAATATAATGAAAAAATTCATCTTAAAATATTAATTAGTTTAACTCTAAAAATAGAAACTATGACAAATAATATCGGACGAAGAGGGTATTATAGATAGATATGTTTTAGTATCACATTAAAATATAGTTAATTTGCATTAAAATAAAGTGATGCTAGTGACACGAGAGAAGATTTGGTACCTATAGTCTAAAAGGGGTTATATTATTAACAAATAAAAATGATATTCCCAAGCCATTTGCGTGCAGAAAAAAGACATTAAAGTTGAAATTACCTAAGTGCAACATACAAATATCATCTCTTTGATTTGATCTAATCAAAGATTCTTCTCGAAACACTCCATTTTCGAGCTTCAGATATAAAAAAATTATTTTAAAAACACTAACATCAAATAAGTCATTCGATATACGATTTATATTTAATTAAAATTTTAATTAAACTTAAAACATCAGATGAGAAACCATAAATAAAAAGGTTTACTCCCATTCAAGTCTCAAAAATAGATACATCCATATGTTACTAACATAAATAATTATTAATCCAATTAATTAAGTTTTATATTAATATAAAAAATATATATCCATAAATGTATATACCATGTTATAATCAATGTATAACTATATGAAATCAATGAGAAAATCTATGCAGAATAAAAATAAAATAACTAATATATATAATGAAAAAATTTATTCGCACTCAATATTTATATCAAGTCAATGCAATACATGTTAGTCCTAATATCATAACATCTATTTAATTTTTATTGTCTATCAAACAATCACTCGGTGCATGTTAGTCCTAATATCATAATATCTATTTAATTCTTATCGTCTATCAAACGATCACTCGGTGCATATCGAATAAAATATAATACACATATATAGTTTGTGTTCAAGACAACAAGTACATTTACACCTTGAAAAAGCTATATCCATCCCATGACTAGTACTAGTAGACGACAGTACATTTATACTTTAAAAATAGTATTGTAATATGTTTTTTGCCTATGGACTTTTTGGCCCCCCAAAATAATAAAATTGCTATTAAAAACCTTGGATTTTGTTCTGTCAGTGTACTTTTTTTGAAATTAGCATCTTATACCTGTTCATATATATAAAATATATCCGCTAAAAAAATTAATCAATTTTCTCGTCAAATAATATAGATCGATACACAAAATATTTCGTATTTAATTGATTTCGAAGAAGGGCCACCACATCCCATTCAAAAACTCAATCACTATAATTGCCACACAACACACTTAACATAAAGACATTTTAGCCTACAAATTCTTCTTTCTTCACAACTTCACATATATCCTTATCTTTTTTTTTTCTTTCTTCAAACAAAGAAAATAAAAACTTAGATCTTAGTATAAATTTTATTTTATAAATTTTTTTTTATATAGTCATGGATAATATGAGAGTTAGAGAACAAGAACTGAAGCAGAGCAATCAAGAAAATCAAAAAACAGAGCCACCACAGTCCGGCGGTGGTGCTGCGGCGTCACCACCGTCAGCTTCATCATCTCCGGCGCATGAGTTTTCCTTCACAATTTCACTTCACCCAACGAATTCCACAAAAGCTCCAGAAAATAAAACGAAACAAAATTTGAATCCGAACCTGAACCCAAACACGAATCAAAACCCATCCGCCATTGATTTAACTCCAGCTGATGAAATTTTCTTCCATGGCCATTTACTTCCTCTTCATCTTCTTTCTCATCTCCCTGTTTCGCCTCGCTCTTCAACAAATTCCATTGACAGTTCAATCCCCATTAGTAAATCAGAATCAAAAATCAAAAAATCCATTGATGATGATGATGATGATAATTCGTATTATGTTTTAAATCATAGTTTTCATCATCACCCCGAAACAACAAATTCATTTCACATACCCAAAAATCAAAAACCCAAATCCAAATCTTTTTCAATTTTCGGATTACCCAAACGTAAAAAAAGCGAAAAAGATGAGAAAGAAAAACAGAGGAAGCTGAAATTCGATGTAAGTGAAGTATTGAAAAGGTATATGAGAATGGTAAGACCCTTTTTATCATTTGGAAGCAGAAAGAATGTGCAATTTCATCGCCAGAGTTATTCATTTTCTGGTAATTTGAGTTTTCGAGGAAAGAATACAATTCATAGTAATAAAGGCATAAAAAGAGGTGCATATTCAGCTCCAGTTTCTATGAAGAATTCACCAACAAATAGTGGATTACTTGTAGCAACCCCTGGAGGTAATTATGGTAATTCATCTTCTTCTTCAAGTAGTGATAGTACTATGGAAGAATTACAATCTGCTATTCAAGCTGCTATTGCTCATTGCAAGAAATCGAGTTCTTCAATGGAAAACAAGAAAATCAACATTTCATAATCATGAAGTAAGAGGGTATCTGGATGCACTACAGCTCCCGCTACGTATTAAATCAAAAGAGTTTATCGATTATTTTCAATGATTTGAACCTGTGACCTCGATGACAATTTGATCATTTTTATCTTTTTTTTACTACTTGTTTGTTTCTAGTGTAGTTAATTTTAATTTTTTTTTAAATGTATCATAATCATGAAGTATATTTGTAAGTATTTTTTGTTTTACTACATGAGTTTAAATATGGATTGGCAGGGCATTGGGCAAATATGTAGAATTTTTTTTTTTCATGAGTTTTTTTTTTATTTATTTATGTAAACTCTGTTTCTGGTGCAAACAGAAGTTAAATTTTTTTTATGAAATTAATATCGTAATTACTTATTAATTATCATTGATTTCAATTGTTGATAGAGGTTTATTAGACTATTAATAGAACAGTATTAATCTCTTGTTTTTAATGTACGGGAAAATTCCACATTCTTATTATGCTTTGATTATGTTTTTTTGAGTCTATCGAAAATGCTTTATGTATTTCGCAAGAATAGGACTATGATCTGCGTATATTACATTCTATTCAGATTATATTTATGAAGTTGCATGAGGTTATATTATTGTTGTTTAATTTATCAAATGCCAAGAAAATGACTTGGTTTGAACTTTGAAAGGTCATCATTATGAAAAAACAATAAAATGAATCTTGATTATTTTATCAACTTTTTGGTGTTTCTTCTTTGTTGCATACTTAAATTGATGTCCTGGTTAGAGTGTTTTTTTTTTTTCAAATGTTGAATAAGGTCAATTTAGCTATTAAAATAATAGCATTGGTCTAATGTTTTGAAAAAATTAAAGTATTCAGAGTTTGTTAAATTAGTTGTCAATATCAACTGTCTATCATCTAGGTAAATGCAGATTAGCACTTTGACTATCAGAGTTTAAGTTTTACGCATTGAATTTTTTTAGCATAAATGTTTGAACTTGAACAAGAAAGTCGTATAAATGAATTATTAAAATGACTAATATAGCAGAGCTATGTTTAGGTACTTTTTTTTGCCTCTACATCCCAATGTTCTTTTTATGAACGAGGTAGTTTCATCTTTATTTATCAAAAAGACGTTGAAAACAGATAAGATTAAAACTCTTCTTATTATGGTCAATCTAGTGATAGCAGAAATATTGAATAAATAAACCATTGTTCTAACTTCTAACAAAAATTAAATAGAAAAAAAAAAGAAGGGACCATTGAAGTTGTCTTAGAGTAATAATGTAACACAAAATACATAGCATGTGTAACATGTTGCTTTCAATGTGTTCATGCACAACTCAACTTTTAAATTTTTGTTAAGTCCATTCTTCTTTTTGGTCTTTGACAACTCTTCTTAATGGTGACTACCAAGTCCTAAAATCCTTGTGCTTTTTTAGTCTCTCTTACTTTTTGAATCTTTCTATCTCTTTCATCCATCTCATCCATAATCCTAATAATTTTAACATAAAATTTTGTGTGGCTCAAAAAGATTCGTTGAAGTAATAATGATTTGTGGAAATTCTTTTTGATAACATGTGAGAATCGAATTTAAATTTTATATCGTTAGATTTTCAACTAGTGTAACTTGGCATATATCATTGGATTATGGTTAATAGTGATGGATCTAGATCACAAAACTTATGAATTGGGAACCTAAGGAGCTTCTATACAGATTATATGTACTGGGGCGAATCTACGTGAGTGTTAGGGGTTTACTATACCCCTCGACAAATTATACCGTATAGATAAAGTAAATTTTTTATATTAATATAATCATATTAATTTTGAATCCCCTTGCAAATAAGAAGCAAAGTATGGTGTAGTGGTTGATCTGCTTAAAATTTGACCCTTACAATCAAGATTCAAATCACATTATGAATATTATATTTTTAGCTTCTCTACTTTATATATATATATATATATAACAAAATATTTAATTGTAAATGATTACTATATATTAATTTGAAATTACTATTGGAAATCATAATATTTCAATCTTAGAATTCACCCCCATATCATGGATAATTCTAGTTTTCTTTGTATTGGGACATGATTTTGACAGAACATGCAAAAGATGAGATTGTTTGACAAACATTCATTCTTCTTATCTTTCATTAACTTTGGCAAGATACTTGGTTGACTAGAATTTTAAAACCTATAACAAAAAACAATTTTAAAGTATTTCGACTTTTTTAAGTTTTAATCTGAACTATTAGGTATAGGAGTTAATTTCTTGTCTAGACTATCATAAATAACACTACTTAACTATCAGTTCTTCTCTTTTCTTACATGAATGATGGGGAATATATTAGGTAGTAAAAGAGAATAATTAAAAATTGAGGTGCGTTATAATAGTTCAAATCGAAAATTCATATACTTAACAATTCATATATGAAACTCAAAAATTCAGACACTTTCAATGTACATTTGACCATCATGTTTTACTATGATTCTTTTATCTTTCATTAACATTATCTAATACTAATTAGGTAAGTAGGTTTTTAAAGGTATAACAAAAATATACCCTAAATATATGTTTTCCCAAAGAGTAATTGGGGAGTTGTATTTATAATCCTTCGGTCTCTAATTACTTGTTCATTTTTAAATTGACATACCTCTTAAGAAATTAATCATTAACATATTAAATTTATCGTTTTATCCCTATTAATTATAAAGTGAATGAATTAATAACTTAAGATTTTCAAGAAGATCTTTCTTTTTTAAAGTAATTAATTGAGGACATAATAGGTAAATTTTTTTGTCCATTCTTGATTTGTCTAAATAGAAAAGTAATCAGGACAAAAAAATAAAAAAATGAACAAGTAATTAAGAACAAAGGACATATTGTTGTAAGTTACCAAATAGGAATGTTTTATATTATATCAAACAAAGTCAGAATTTAAAATTTATATATTTGAAATTCTAGTTCTTTTAAGTTTTTGATCTTACATAGTTAATCGGACCTAAACTACTAAATCCAACCTATTCATAAGTTATACTCTAGCTCCACCCCTAAATACACTACTTCTTTGTGAGCTGTGACAATAACTCGAAGCTAAGTACCAAGCGTGCCTACATAGCTGCCTTATACGCAAAATATCATCTAAGATTTATATTTGATGAGTTCAATATTTATATTCGCAAACATCGAATATGTTTTTATATAGTAGTAGATCTAAAAGGCAGTAGACAATAAGAAGAGGTTTTTTCTTCTTGTCAAAACAATGTTAAAAGCTTTGAAAAGTAAAGGCACTATTTTGGACCAATATATTTTTAGTGGGTCACATGAGTTGATATTTTTGGAATTTTATTTCTTTTATCAAAGTACAACAATAATGTTTAAATGTGGTACTTTGGTCCAGTTTTACATGCCAACAACTAATTATTCTTTGTTAATTTGAACCCTTCAGTCCTCATAATAATGATGATTTTGAACTCAAAACTATCATCATTAGAATGATTTGCTACTCATGAGGAACTAATTAGTAAAACAAGAAACAATTATCATTAACAATCATCACTAAGTTGCAGTCGGTTTTATGATTTTTTTTTAAAAAAAGTTGCGAAAAATATTTTAACTTTGATCGAAATTATTGTTACGATATTAAATTTTATGAAAGACCTTTTATCCTTATATTATTTAATAGTATATGTACCCCGAGGTCATGTTATTATTTATAATGATGCGATATTTATGATGTCCACATGGATATATGTATACCTTAAAAAAAACACTATTAAATAGTGCATGGGTAAACCGTCATTTCCAAATTTAAGCTTAATTTTTGTTGTCCCAATCCCTACTCACTCTTATCAACGGGACATTGCCTATTGATCTAGAAAAGACATATCAGATCATTAATGTTATTTTTTTTTATTTTGAAAAATTTGGAAAGTAAATATTTTACAAAAGTTATATAAACAAATAGTTATAAGCGTGCAATTTTTTTTTTTAAATAATTAGTTGACTAACAATTGAATCCCTTAATTAAACTAGATGACCACAATTTATTTTTTTATTAATTTAAAATATATAGCATAAGACATGCCAATCTTGTCACCAACAATATATCATTTAACCATAATTATATTATGAAAAACTCCAAATAATAATAATTCAGAATGGTCCACTTATTTTCACAAGTTAGTGATTTAAATCACCTCTTTCTTTTCCAAGAAGTTAACACTACTATATCATTTGACACTCCAATAAAATTGAAAAGACATATCTTTTTTTTATATATAGTAAAAGGTATTATGAGTAAAAATCTTTTTAAAATATAAAATTATATTTAAAAAATTATTCTGACTAAATTTTTTGACCAAAAAGATTTTTCTATACAATAAAATTTCATTGCTAAGAAAGTAAATAGCAAATTTCACATTACACTAAACTTATCACTAATAGTAGATTCTTTTACTAAGTGTAATAAGCCGGCTTTAATTTTATTTTATCTGTCATTATTTTTTTTCACAATTTTATTAAAAAAAGACTAAAAATATAATTTGCCAACTAATTAATTGACCTTATTTATTTTTTAATATCAATTCAGTACAATTCTCTTTTTTACATGAATAAAGATAAAAATTAATAATTAAAAGGATAAAATATCTCACGTCAATAAGACAATCGAAACAAAAATATATATCAAGAGGTTTGTGAGTTAAACGAATATTATGAACCAGTTATTATAAGTAAGTACGACAATTAAAATGAATTATGGCATGCAGGAGTATATAATATTCTTTGGGACAAAAAAAACGAAAAGTAAATCCATTTCTGAAAATTAAATTACCTTATTAATCATTTCCCAAAATCTTTTTCTTACTTTTTGACTGAGGACCACATTTTATCATAGAGAAGTTAGATCCAATGTATTGAAACTGATAACATGTATAAAAGTTTTAGTTTAGAATTCCAAAGATTATTAAATGGGAAAATAAAAAAAAAAAGTGGGAAAAAAAAGATATACTTAAATGGGCTCGATGAAGATATTTTTCTTCTCGTGATTGAAAATACGTGCAAGTGTATACTTGATTTAAGTTCAGTCTTTTTTTTTTTAACTTTTCCATTACTTTTTTATAATCAAGATTGATATACTCCCTCCGTCCGAAAATGCTTGTCATATTGCTATTATTAAAAGTCAGTTTGACTAATTTTTAAAGGTAAATTATATCACATTACTTTGATATTTTAAACAAAAAAATTAGATATTCTAAAAGTATATGAAAAGTACTATAAATTACAATTTTTTGCATATTAATATGATAAAAAAATGAATCTTAAAATGTTAGTCAAAATTTTTATAGTTTAACTTTAAAAATAAAAATAATGACAAACAATACCAGATATAAAAAATATTTTTTTTTGGGAAAAGAACACTTTAAATCTAAAAAGGGAAACTCTCTGTATATTGTTATTTCCTTACTTTTATACCCCATGCTTTTAATTACTAATGTGCTTTATATATATATATATAGAGAGAGAGAGTGTTTTGGTGAAAACACTGCTCAGTTACTTCTTGATGACATCAAAAAGTAATATGCAGTGTTTCGGTGAAAAATTTTTAAATTACTGGTTGATACTATTAGAGTATATATACATATACACTATCAAGAATGAAGAAGTGATTGTTTAAAATCAAGGGAACAATTGGGTAAATATTTTGTCTAATGGGTTCACTTTGTGTAGTTTCCCCTTCTTTTTTAAAAATACTAATCAGTATCCAAAGTTTAAAAAATACATATAATATACATTATTAGTATGTATAACTTGAATAATATGTATACATGTTTATAGTAATGAAGCCAATATTCTTACTAGCCAAATTATAAATAAGTAAATTCACGAAGAAGCATGTACATATAAAATTAATAATACCATATTATATAAAAATATTAGTACTTTTATCTAGCTAGACAATGTAATTTTTTGATAAAAGAAATGCCGTTTGACACCGTACATGTGGCTTAGCCACTGTTATTGATCTATTGTATAACTGAAAAATATTATGTATACATATCAATGTATATTAATATTTATAACATCCATTTATTATTGTAGTGTATATTTTCACATTTATTTCATTTGTTTTTATTAGTATCTTTATTATTCTACATTACTTCGTATTCACCTAACAAATTTGTGTATATTTATTTGCATTGATATCCATTGGTTCACGTGTATTCAGTTTATAAAATATTATATATATATATATATATATACACACGTATTCTCTTACTGGGCTTTAGATATTGATGTTTACTGGGCAGATGGATATCCAGCCCAACTTGTACAAGCTTGAATACCAACACAATTTGGACTTGTTAGAAGCTTCAGCTTATCTCAGCCCATTATAAAGTCCATAGTTTATAAGGTTTTCGTTAAAAATCAGAAAACTATGGTCGATCTTGAAGATGAATAATATTGACTCTCGTTTTTCTATGATCAAAACTTACTATGAATTTGGAGTAAAAGTCGTCGATGAAAATTAATGAATAAAATTTTGCTCAACTTCGCCATATTTCTTCAGTTGGATCTATACTTATACAGCTTTAGAAATCACTCTTATAAAGTGAACTACTATGATTTATTTTTAAAAAATTGAATATATAATAGATTTTTGAAAAATTTAAGGCAAACATATAAGTTAGAAAAAGAAAATCAACTTAATTGATTATTTTTGTATCGACTCTTGATTAATTTGTAAGGCCAAAAATTTGGTTTCTTTAATATTTCTTATATAAAAAAATGGAAAAATTGATGTAGAACCGTGTTGAGTATGTCAAAGTGACATTTCAAAACGTATATTGTAAGACCTTTTTTTTCCTAAAGAAACTTTACTCCTATAATAATTACATGTCTTCGTACAAGAATACTTTTCATTATTATGCCTAAAATGTCAAACGTAAGACTATAATAAGTATTATTTTATTTTTATGTTAATTGAAAATTGAATTATAAATATAAATTTTTTTTAATAAGGAAAGTATTATTCAGTAAAATTTTTTTATGCCATTTTAAATTTCATTGAATTTTAATACAAATGTAAATGGTGGTGAATTGAATTGCTCCTTCTTAATGAGATGTTTCGAATTTAAGCTATATGTATGAACTATGAAATAATTTTTGATAGAAAAAACTTCCTGCTAATAGAATTTTACGTAATGCAATTTCTGTCATTCCTATTAAAATGAAAAAAAAGTATCTAAAGTAAATGTTAGGTTGAATTTTTTGTCCCAAACTTATAATGGAATGTGAAAATGAAATGAAAGGCACGTACTTATAGACATATTTAATTTGAACTTATCACATTCGGAAGTGAAATAAGTTCATCAACTACCATTCTTTTAAAAGATATTTTATTAACTATAGAAAACACTATTTATAATATTTTTAGAAAACTCTTATGGTAATTTATTTTGTAACCTAACTCTCAAAAGTCGTAATATTTATTTTCTCTAGATATTGTTTGATCAAAACTTTTGAGAAGGTAAATATATTTCTTTTTAAAAAATTATTTAGAAAACGAGCTTCTTGATATTTTTTAATTTTTTTATAACAATAGTAGAAATTATTCTTTAAAAACATAAAAGAATACTTTTTCTTTTTGAAAAAAATAATATTTATGAAGCTTGACCAAATACTCTGATATCGAAAAAACTTATTTTATTGTCAAATTAATAAATCAAACACAAATTATTACTCTTCGACTCGCATCTTTATTCAACTTAAATGACACTAAAAGGATAGGATGAAATATGAATATTTATTTATTCTTTAAGTTTTAACCAAATGTCTTAGAATTGGGTCTATATGATCACATAATTTATGCGCAAATTTAATCGAGCTTCAAATATAAACAGAAAAATTATATTTTTTTAAATAAAAAACTCAAATACATGTCACGGCTACCTGTAGAGATCTATTTTACTACTCCAAATAATTGTATATCCTGCAAAAGAAAAAAAAACTCAATTATACAAAAAATTAACGTTGTACTCAATTTTCTCTGTTTCATTTGTCTCCAATTTCTGTTCTCTTTCTCCGGTAAGTTCATCGAATCTTTGGGGAAAAAAAACAACCTTGATTTCACCCTGTAATTTCATTCTTCATTTGATTACTTACACGTTTTGTACTCTTACGTAAATTACTGTATATTATAAGTATAAAAAAATTAATACTGGCTAAAAATTCAATACGATGGCGATGTCAAATGATTATGGCAGTGGCACATTCGAATCATATTAAAAAGAATATGCTTTTTCTCAAGGCTCAGTCTTTGACAGTTATTGTTTCTGAATTATGAGTACTTTGTATATTGTATTTCGTGGGTTTCTTGATTTGTGACCCTAATAAGCTCAGCACTGATTATTTGAGCTGTGTGTAGTTTCTGATACCATTTTATTGATGGGGTTTGGGTTTGATTTGTTGGGTATTCAGCAAATTTGTTTATTGTTGTAGTACATGTTTCCCCTTTTTTGAATTGTGATCATATAGTAGGTAAAGATTGGGAAAACGGTTAAAGATTGGATTTTTATGGTGAAGATTTGGAGATTTAGGCAATTTGATGAATGGAATGTAGTAGTGAGGGGGAAAGATTCAATCTTGATAAATTGGGGTTTTGATTTTGTGATGGGGAAATAAGATTCTGTAAAGTGGAAGCTTGTTTGGTAGATATTGATAATTTATAGAAAAAATGAATACTGTGGGGAGAATAGGTAGCTACATTGGGAGAGGGGTAAGTAGTGTTTCGGGTACTTTCCATCCATTTGGTGGTGCTGTGGATATCATAGTGGTGGAGCAGCCGGATGGGAGTTTGAAAACATCCCCCTGGTATGTTCGATTCGGGAAGTTTCAGGGAGTTTTGAAGGCAAGAGAAAAGGTGGTTAATATAGCTGTCAATGGCGTTGAAGCCGGTTTTCATATGTATTTAGATGGTAGGGGACGAGCTTTCTTTATAAAGGATGTAGATATAGAAGATGGGGAGTCTTTCTCTTCTTCATCATCCTCAGGTGAGGATGCTGACGGGCAAACCAGTAGTAAGCGGCCAACAATATCAAAGAGTTGCAACTATGATGCTTCTGAATCTAATTCAACTACTCAGATCAATGTGAGCGGTGAGAATGTCTCGGTGAGGGCCAATTCCCAAAGACCTGGGATTTTAGGCCGGGTTTTTGGGAGGAAGTCGATGAAAAAAGACAGGCTTCCTGGGGAAGAAAATGATGCCAGTATTATGAGGACAGACTCATTGGAGTGTGCTGAAATGGCAGCTGATCTGTTAGAAATGAAGTGGTCTACTAATCTTACCCCGAAGAGGTACAACAGAGATTATGTCATACCAGTTGCTTCCCAAGATATGTCAAAGGGTGTTAAAGAAGAGGACTTGCAAGCAAGCAACAAGAAAAGTGATACGAGTTCTCTTGCACATGATAGCATGTTAGACAATCTTGACTTCCGTGACCCTGCTTGTGAGAAGGATGATGGTTCTCATCCAAGCTTTCAAACTCAAGAGGAGTCTGTCAAGGTAACTGGTAATGCTGCAAGAGTGTCCATTGTCCAAGATATTGAAGATTATGGTCGTGAAGAAAGCTTAAGAATTTCTGGTGACAGTGGTGAACTAGGCTTAGTTAACGCTGATCATGATGCCGCGGGTGGTACATTTATATCTGAGGTTGCGAGCCCCTGTTCAAAATTTGTGGATTCCCCTGAGATAAAGAAACATGATTCTTTTATAGTTAGCCGTCTTCCCGAGGAGGAACATGAAATTGCTGCAGTCCAGTCCTTTTTCTATTGTGAAACTGACGAGAACTCGACAACAATGCTGGATGTTTCAACTGAAGAGTTCACTCAAAACTTGTGTGCTTCTTGTGATCTTGAAGCTCGTATGCACACCCAAACAGTCCTCAGTATGAATGATTTAATGTCAAAGGGAAACTCTCAACCAGAAGAGGATTTATTATTTGAAAAGGATTCTTCAAATGGTTTCAAGGTTATGACCAACAACACTAATCCAAACTCAATCTCTAATTTTTTGGTCTCCGATAGCGGTTCGTTGAATAGCTCTGCTGCAGAAACAGATTTTGGGTGCTTTTTACCCAACTCTTGTTCAAGCACCTCAACCGATAAAGCAAGAAGTATAAAAGATAAAGCAACAGACAAACTTGAAGCCTCTTCCGAGGCTCTTGGAGATCCTAATGGATCTAGTGGCCGTTTGGTCCCACTTCCGGTTTCTTCATTAGAAGGCTTGGAGGAAGAGCACCTTGTCTTTGGTGATATTGATGATGGTTACGACACTGTAGGCAGATACACGGAGTCCACTTCTTCAGATTATAAGAAAAAAGAAGATTACCCCCCTGCATCTTCAAGCTCTCTTGATATCAACGACTACCGAGTACCGAACTATGAATCTTGTCCTACTCTGGCCAAGTCCATCCAAAGTGATCTGCCGATTGTTGCAGATGGAAGAAAACTCAGAACTGTATTAAGCAATGTTGACATTCCTGCCATAGTTCAGGGTAATGAAGTTATGCGGATGGGCAGATCTTTACCCAATATGTGGTCTCAAAAAAATGTTTGTCCTTCTAATCCTGAGGATTTACATTCATCAATTGTACTACAGACAACAGAAGTTGCTGAGTTCACGGAGGAGGTGAAAAATATTTCAGCCACCCCAGAAATTGGTAAGAAAGTATACAATTGTGCGCCCTTTGAAAATCATTTTGAAGCTTATTGTGATGTTTTTTCTACTCTTTATCTTTGTATAGTTTGATGTTCAGATAATTTTTCTATTTTGTCCGGTGATACTGTGAATTTACCTTGAAGGACCTGAAGTTTAATTTTGTTTTAGATCGCGTGAGAGGTTATATCATGGAAAAAGAAGCTTATTGATATTGACTAAAAAAATTAGGCAAGATAATCATTGACGAGTTAAAATGAACCTCTGCAGAAAGAGATCCTAGACCCATTAATTCATTGGGTAGTAGTAGCAGCTGGAGATCATGGTCTTTTGCTTTCAAGAGATCAAGAAGCATGAAAAATTCTGGCGTGTCCATGGATGAAGATGTAAATACTGCTAAGGATATTTCAAAAAACACAGGTGGTGATAGAGAAGAAGATGTGCCAAGGCCAAAGATTCCTAAGAAGAAAATAATGGTAAACACTCCAGAACCTGAACAGCTGGCTACTTTGAATCTGAAGGAGGGAAAGAACATAGTTGTTTTCACATTCTCGACTGCAATGCTGGGGAAACAGCAGGTCATATGGTGGACTTCTTTTTTCTCATTACATCTCCCTTTTGTGTTTGAGCACTTTCAAGAAACTACATCTTCTTTCTATGTAAGTGTGGCAAATGCTTCCATGTTTATAATTTGTCTAAGGTGCTTACTTCACAGGTTGATGCATGTATATATTTGTGGAGATGGGACTCAAAAGTTGTAATATCTGATGTTGATGGAACAATTACAAGGTAATTGATTCATTTTCTACTCTAGATAGTTGGTGATATTATCCCCTACACGAGCTTGCTTTTGTGTCCAATACGTTCTATTTTATTCAACTTTGATCACAATGAATGTAACAACGGTTAACTTCTAATCTATGCAAATGTTTGCCTTGGTGGTTATTAGATAAGATATCTCAACTTTGTTCTGTTAGAAAAATCTGTCTTGTCCTTTTTTTTTTGACAAGTAGGAATGTCTTATCCAACATCAACTGTAGCAAGTAGTAACAATTTTGGCGGTAAATTGCTTTCTACATGTAGTTAACTTTGTGATTTACTTCCATGTCCAACTACCTAAGCATTGGATGTGAGATGTTCATAATTGCTGGACCTTAAGATGATGCACTTGGAGCTGTTGAAAAATTCCACAAGCCTAGCGCTCACCCTCTGTAACAGATTATTGCAAGAATTAATAATAAAGTTTTTATAAATTATTGTAGAGAAAAATGGGTCAAAAGTTAGATATGAATTGGATGTTTTGGTACTAATGAGATTTTATATTTTGAAAGGAAACCTCGAAGTGGAATTTGGACACCAAATTTGAAAGTCTCTTCCAACATTTCTTTTAAATGTCCTATAGAGTTTCCCTAGAATTGTTTCTGATCTGAAATACAAAATTGTAATATAACTAAAAATGAACTTCTGAATAGAGGATCAAAGTTGAAAATTAATCTAACTTCACCCATACACCCATATTTTACACCATCTGACCTTGATACATTCTACTGGAAAATAGGGCTTATTTGGTGCAACCTGAAGTATAGTTATCAGAAAGAAGGAAATGAATCCAGTAGGGATGCAATTTAGCAGAGTTCAAAAAGCAATTGACAAGTTTGGTGTGCCCCCTGGATCTTGGATCAAGTAGATTGAGACGTAGAATTTTTGACTGAAGCCAAACATCACGATTCTATGTTGTGTCTTTCCATCAAAACCTGGAATAGCAACAGATAAATAATGTCATTTTAGCAGATTTTGCCAAGTGTTCCTTTTATAGGCATAACTTAAGTTATAGCTTTTTTTGGTTGAGTCATTCTTTCACTAGAATTACCTATAACCTGAGATGACATATTGAAACAGGTGGAAGTTGGTTTACATTTTCCAACTTGTTTAAATTAGATATCTAAGGTTCAAACTTTTCTATGCTGGTCCTTTCTCCTCTTTAAACTACTGTTGGCTCCACTCTTTGGTTCTTTTGTGAACAAAAAGGGTAGTCTTTTGTTTGAGCTGGTTGATATATGATAAAAAATATAGATGTTCTTCCTGGTGCCTGTCTGATGTGCGAAATTTTTGTCAATTAAACAGATCTGATGTTCTAGGACAGTTCATGCCTTTGGTTGGGATGGATTGGTCACAGATAGGCGTTGCACATCTCTTTTCGGCCATCAAGGTCCGTAGACTTCATTTGTTTTCTCTTTTTCCCTTTTTTTGAGATTTATTCAAACTTCTTGCTGCTTCTGCTAATTTTGTAGTTCTGGCAAGTAATCTGCCATTAGGCCCCAATTTTTATCTTAAGAATGTTCCTTTTCCTCTGTTTGCTAAGGTTCAAAATGTATCTACACTTCTTCTATGTTAATATATTACTCTTTGTACTTTTTTTCCCATACTTTCTTATTTAAAAACAATTTGACTTTAAACTTCTTATTTTGCTCTAATAAGATGATTTATAGCCAACAAATGTCGATGACATGTTTTAGACCACAAGCTTCAAAAGTCTTTCTTTCTTAACTTTCGTGCCCAGTCAAACACCACCACATAAATTTGGGATGGAGTTTTTATTTTAACTCATTATAGCATGTAAGAGTGCATCATGATTAGACAATTTCTCTTTGCTGCAGGAGAATGGATATCATTTGCTTTTCCTAAGTGCACGTGCTATTTCACAGGCCTATCTTACCAGACAATTCCTCTTTAATCTTATGCAGGTGATTTGATGACTAGAAAATTTGGCTTAAGTAATCACTTTTTCCTCTCCTTCATTAATTTGACTTCATTTTTTTACTTTTGATTTTGATAATTGCAGAATGGTGTGGGATTACCAGAAGGACCAGTTCTTACATCACCTGATGGAATTTTCCCTTCTCTATTTCGAGAAGGTCACTAGTTATTCATTTCTTTATTTTCTGAAGAGTTTCCCCTTGATTTTTCATTGTTTCAAACCATGCATCCCATTGAATTGCTAATATTTTGTTTGACGTATTCTTATGAATGAATCATGATTATTGGAATTAAACAAGACCATCCGTTATCATCTGGGTAGCTAGAAACAAGACCATGTTGTACTTTCTATCTTTGTATAATTTTCAGTTGGGGGTGCTGGTAGAGAGCATTACAGTAGAAGTAAGCTGTTGCCGCCTTGCCGGTACTTACCGTTTGCTCCCACCACTCTTTGATGAGCATTTGCACAGTTACCCCATTCTTGCTACCTCATATTTCAAAAAAACATTCAGTTAGTGCCAGAGTGCTCAGATTGCTGCTCCCACTCTGATATGTTCTTTGATTTTTTTTGTTTGTTGATGGAATATATATGTTCTTTGATTTAAGTGCATTTGAAGAAGGAACTTATTGTTGAAGATGTAACAACTAATTTATTGAAATTATCTACTCCAGCGAACATGGTAATTGGTAATGATTCCAGGAAGTTGATGCTATCAGTTGTTGGATATTTACCGACTTTCTCATACTCTCATGTTCTTATGTCCTTTTTTATTTATTTAGTTGTTTTAGTGATTTTAACTACCCTGTTGACAACTACCATCACAATTCTGCAATATAAACAGAAAGATCGATGACATTGCCAGCAACATGCCTCAAACTGTATCAGTAGCAACATGCATTTAGAATGCAAAAGATATTTCGGTCCAGTGGCTGCTGGTTTCATGCATAAAGGAATTATTGGTTCACTGGCTGCTGTTTCAATTTTTTTTTTCTTTTATAGCATGAACTTAAAATGTGAAAGAGACTAGTTTTATTCTGCATTGTAACTCCAATCTCCGTGCTAGCAGCATGTCTTAATCTGATTGAGTATTAGAAAATCAGAACATGCTTCCAATTTTGCTAATATTATGACTGAGAGATGCATATTCTGTACCTTTTTCAGTGGTTAGAAGAGCTCCTCATGAATTCAAAATTGCTTGCTTAGAGGTCAGTTTTTTGATTTAGATTTGCTTCCTGTTTCCGTAATAGAACTTTTGTCATTTTAAGCAAAAGGAGTTTTGCACGTCTGCCAAAGCCATGAGGCTAGGGAGGCTTACAGACTATTGCTTTGATGATCTACATTATGTGTTTAGTCAATCTTTATTTTTTGTTAGATTAAGGGAATTATGACTTGTAAACATTATACAAACCGAGTAAGTGCAATAGATGAGTAGTTAGCGCTTTTGTGTTATGATGCACGAAGACTCACTGTTTATACTGGTAATGTCCACATGCTCAATATGTACAAACCAGTTGCTCGAGCCTCTATGCACTAAGATTTAGTTTCTATTTAAGAAATCTTACTGCTGTTCAAGGTGGATGACAAGTTGGGTTGTTTGGTATCACTTAATATATGGCTGTGCAGAAACATCAAATGTTTTTGATGAAACAAATAAATCGCAAGATGGGTATAATGGCTAAAAAGAATAAGTGCACTTTGGTAAACATCTTTTACCATGTACACAACAAAGGTTTTCTTTTCCTTTCTGTATTTTGTTTTATTTTTCTGTTTATCACGGGTTTTGTATGGGATGGGAATAACAAAGAATGCAAATTCTTGAGGGCAAGGAGTATCAACATTACTAGCTGATAATTAACTAATGTTGAGCATATGTATTTAGCTATGGTGACAAATGCAGATCAATAACATGTTAAGTTTCACGTTTGCAGGATATAAAAGCACTGTTCCCTTCTGATAGGAATCCCTTTCCCTTCTATGCTGGTTTTGGAAACAGACACACGGATGAGATCAGCTACCTCAAGGTTGGAATACCTAAAGGGAAAATCTTTACCATCAACCCAAAGGTACATAGTCAACTGTTACTATCAACTGGAAAGGACCTTTTGCAGATAACTCTGTTGATGAAAGTTTCTTATTTTTTATATTCTACAGGGTCAAATCGTTGTAAATCGACACATAGACACAAAATCATATACCTCTCTTCATAGTCTTGCCACTGCCATGTTTCCAGCCATTCTCTCATGTGAGCAGGTTGGATTTTTTCCCTTCTCTAACTGTGAATTTTGGATCATTAGAACGTAACAGAGTGAAGAGAAGTATGTGATCTCATGCTACAGTTTTTTACCTTCTGCAGAGAATGTAGGATATAATTAGCTTTCTTGAACTGGAGTATAAGATTCACTTCCAGCATCATGTTAACTTTAATAACTCACCATCTTGTCTAGTCATGAACATGTTTCCCTTATTTAGAAACTTACTGATCTAGAATTACAGTAGGTTCCTACACTCAAGTTCTTTCACCTTGTGTCCTGTGGAAGCTCAAAATTCTTGACTTGTTATCATTTTTGTTTCAAAACAATGTCTGCTGTGCTAGGCCCTGCAGCCTAGGAACAGCCATTTGGTATGCCCCTTCTTGCTGCAGTCTTCTTGAAACAGTGTTACTTTTTCGTTAAATGTTTGGTATCATTATCGAGATCGGTATTGAGATAGTAGTTGTTATATTCTCACTATCGGTATCCTTTTGCATAGCAGACACTTTGAAGAGTGTCTCCTCCTGGAACACTCTCTCTACTGTGACAGGGTTGGATAAATTCTGTTCTAAATAATTAAACCAATTATAGGAAGAAAAAGGGTAAGACCTTGGGACTCTTTCTGTAGGCTGGAAATTTTTTATGGACAACATGTGAAGTCTAGAAGTTATTGAAATATTATTATTAGGAAGTTAAAACCGTGTACAGAGCAAAGAAAATTGAAAAGTAAGGAACTTTGAACCTTTGGTCCTTTTCACTTGGCTGGACATTTTTTATTATTGAAGTTACAAAATCAAAATCGAATAAGGGATAACTAGCCCATCTCATTACTGAAAGTACCAACATTATCAGCTTAAGCTAAACCAGTTTTTCTATGTAAATATTAAGAGTCTACCACAATGGTTGAGGAAATTGGTTGTCTCTTTGTATGGTTTTGGAGAATTTTCATCATAGATCTAGCTTTTGTGATTGAGTTAAACCGTATTTTTACTTTCTTAACACGCAAACCAAAGTCAGACCCGTCACTGTTATTTCCCTGTGTTGAGTCCTGAAGTTATGTTGTTGTTGGCATCTGCAAAGAATTTGATAGTTGTCAATTCAGATTATGGTTATTCCCCATGTGCGAAAAGGATAGTTTTCTGGATTCTGAAACATTGACAATCACATTTTCAAGCCGGGACGAGAAATTTTATGCTGTTTATTTTTTGTTTGTAAATGGATCATTGACTGGCATTAAGTCAGGGTGTTGCTTGATCATATCCCATACTCTTTCGAGAATATGAAGTAGGCGCAAGTCGCAATGTCAAATGCTTCTTTCATGTACATCCAGTGCTGTCTGCAAGCTTCATTAATCTTACTCTTACTCAACAATTTTCACTTTTCTTCAGGAGGATTTTAACGTGTGGAATTTCTGGAGACTTCCACCTCCTTATATTGATTGAAAATTAGCAGAGTCCATCCTGAACTATTTTTTTTTGAGATTCAGGGATGGTAGCCCCACGGACAACGTAAGATTCAGGTAACTTTTATTTATAGTTTCAACTTGTGATGCTGAAATTATAGGAATTCGTTACATCAGTGTAGATTCCGAACACAGTCTGTGTGGTCTTATGTGTTTTGTAACTTCTTGCAGCAAAAGGCTAATGTGTTTTATACTATAAATACAAGTCAAGTTTGATTGAACCACAAACAAGGCTCATTGTATCTGTATATTGCACGCGAAAGTGGCTAGTGTATATAGTATTGTCTTATATCCGTCATCTTGGAGGAAGAAAATCGTGTCCTCAGTTTTCTGATATTCTGCTCATCAATCATCGACTAGCCAATACACTTTGGCCCTACATATACACATACTTATGAGAAGGAAAATACGAAATACGCTCCTTCAAGACGAGTTGAACTTTGTAAATTGTTGTAGTATTAGTATATGTTAATGAGGAAATGTAGATTTTGTTGTAGTTTGGTGATTTGTAGAATCTGTCTTATAAAGGGACTTACATGTTGAGGCAAACTGTATAAAGGTTAAATTGTCAATAACACACATCAAAATATTGGACCAGTATTTTAAGTAATTTTTTCTGTATAAAGGCTATGTTGCTCAAATCCTTCAAAAATCTCGACAGATGCATGGCACCGGTAGTGCATTTTTTTGAATGAGCTGGATACGAGTGCAATAATATATTTGGGAAGTTTGAGCAAAATAGACCTGAAATTACTTTTAGCTTTTCTTTTTTAAAGGAATCGGATATGGGTACAATAATATTTTTGAAGAGTCTGAGCAACATAGACTACTCTCGGTAGGATGAGGATAAGATTGAAATTTTAAAATGCTCTAAAGAGAAAATTTGTGGATAAGATTCTCCACTAATTTTTTTATGACATGATGAGATTCTGCCTAAGAGTTCCAAGAATATGGTGCACCTGTTAATAATGTATATATTATAATAGCATAATCCACTGTTATGATTTTAGACAAGCTCCTTTTTGTAATATATGAATGAACATAAATATAAAAAAGGAGAGTTATATTTGAACCATATAAAAAATGTTACAAGTATTTTTATATGAATAATATAATAAAAAGTAAACCTTTTCGACAAAAAATTGATTCATTTCCCTTTTTAACAATTATAACGGTTTTTAAATCCTAATATACACCTAGTAAAAATATCTATTTCAACCCTTCTCGCAGCTGTATTGCCTAAAACCCATATCACCCCCACGTAGCCTAAAATTTACTTTATACTACGTTGTTTTGTTTCTCATTTTTATTTATCTTTAATTTATATCCTGTAAAAAGACTCAAAGATGTTTTCTTTAAATTTTACTTTATTTTTTTTAGGATAAAAAATTTGCAATTCCTAACTTTTAAGTGAGTAGAAGATAAACTTGACAACGCATTAGCTCGAATAAGAGCATAAATAAAAAAGTTTTAACTTTAAGAATCCGTGCAAAAAATCATCTACTCAATTAACTCGATCAATATTCTTTCATCGGTAACTTACCCGTTTGATATTATATGTGTAAATATACCTAAATATAAATACGAGTCTATAATAACCTAATAAAAATATTAGGCATAATAGCGGTGTTGTTTTGTTAGACTCAGTATTTTTTATATTTTATAAAATAAATACTACGCTCTTTCACCAAACAATTCTTCAACGTTAAATATTCTTGACGGTTTTGTTCTGAAACTATGATTCTCTTTTAGATTTTGGTTTTGTTGATTTCTGATCAAAAACTAAAAGAGAATAATTTTTCTCCCATTTTATTGCTATCTTTTTATGATTGATTTGTTGGGGGTTCAGCAAATTTATTTATGTTCTTTTAGTTTTTCCTCTTTTATCTGTATTTGAATCTTGATCAATTAATGTTCTTTGATCATTTGTTTGTTAGAATCCAAATACGCGAGCAAGAGAAAAAGATTTAGGAAATGAGTAAAGATTGGATTTTTATGGGAAAGATCTAAAGATTTGGTTGAGGGGATTAATGAATTGTAGCATATGAGCTAAAAAATACAATCTTGGTGAGTAGGGTATGTTATTTGTGGGAAGTTTTGTTAGCTTTTCTTGTATGTATTGATATTAGATGATTTAAACAGAGTCACTAACATTCATATAGCTGACCTTGAATTGTTTAGGACAGTGGCGTAGTAGTTGTTGTTGTTATAAGAGAATGAGTGCTATGGGGAGGATAGGTAGTTACATAGGTAGAGGGGTACGTAGTGTTTCGGGGACGTTGAATCCATTTGGTGGTGCTGTGGATATCATTGTGGTGAGGCAGCCAGATGGGAGTTTGAAATCAACTCCTTGGTATGTTAGATTTGGGAAGATTCAGGGGGTTTTGAAGGCTAGAGAAAATGCGGTTAATGTAAGTGTCAATGGCGTTGAAGCTGGTTTTCGTATGAATTTAGATACTAGAGGGCAGGCATACTTCCTAAGGGAGCGAGACATGGAAAATGGATATTCTTTAACTACTCGAACATCTGAACAACTTGCAACTTTGAATCTGAAGGAGGGAAAGAATGTGGTTGTATTCACCTGCTCAAAACAGCAGGTCACTTCTTCTCATTACATCTCCTTTTGGTATGTATGCAAATGCATGCTTATAATTTGTCTGAGGTTCGTATATTTCAGGTTGATGCACGTATATATTTGTGGAGATGGGACGCAAATATTGTAATCTCGGATGTTGATGGAACAATTACTAGGTAAAGTCAATTCCTTTTCTAATATAGACGTTGCCGTTATTGTCCTCTCTAAACTGCTTTCTTCTCAGAGTTAGCTTTATGATTTAAATCCATGCCCAAAAGTCTTAGAATTAGATGAAAGGTGGTCTTAATTGATGAACCTTAACATGACGCAGATGCACTTAGAAGTGTTCAAACACGAGATGAGTATCCACTCTTCCCTTATAGATTTTCTTAGTTTGTCTTGGGAGATTAAGAGCAGAGTTGATACATAATTAATTGTAGAAAAGTGGGTTTACAAATAGATATGAAATTGAGATTTTTATTTTTTTAACTTTCGAAAGAGAACTTTGAAGCCCAAACTTGGAGCTTTTTCTATGACCACTGACTTTGTCCCTTAAATGTTGCATAGAATTGCACACAATGGTAATATACCTAGAAATGAATTCAAGGAGTACGAGAATCAATGCTGGAAAAGCTAATGTCACTCACTGCACACCGAGCCGCCTACTCCAGTCATAAGCTAATTATGAACTTAATCTTATAATGACCCATGGTTGTCTAAGACTTCAATTCAAGACCATCCTTTGCAGGATTAGGAGATTCTTAGCCTTTCTGAGGCACATTAGGATTATAGTGGTGTGCCGCAATATTCTTTTTCTTTTGTTTTGATAATTTAGCAATAATAGTGGTGTTCAAAAAGTAATTAATGGCTGAAGAGAAGATTTGTTATCTTGGAAAGGGGATGCTATTTTTGAAAAAGAATGTAAGACAATCTTTTTTACGCCAAAGTGAGTAATTACTATGAGAGGTGCAAACTGCCAACCATTTATACGTTGCAACCACATCCATAGTATGTACTATATGACCTTGAAACATTCTACAGGGAAATAGGGGTTATCTGACAGTGCAACTTGAAGTTAATAGTTATCAGAAGGTAGGAAATGAAGGATCTGGCCCTTCTTCATTGGTCTCCAGACTCCAATTGGGATAAAATTTAGCCGAGTCAATGAAACAATTGATGTGTCTGGTTTGGCTCCTATGTTCTAACTTTTGAAGCAGCTAAATCTACTCCAACACTATGACTGTTGTGTTTCCATCAAAACATGGCATAGAAACAGATAACAACTGTCATTTCTAGTTTCTTTTGCCCCTCTCTTTGTTTCTTGTCATGCACTTGCTTAATTCGTACATGACGTGTTCCTTTTCCAGAATGGATTGGAACTTGCGTACCTTTAGTCATTTCCCTGCTCTAAAAATTTCTATGCTGGTTGCCTTTGCTCCTTATTGAACTTATATTGGTTCGCCTTTTGGTTATTGGCTCCTTAGTGAACAACTTAGTGGACAAGAATGCTAGACTCTTGTTTGAGTTAGTTAATATAAATAATAGATGTAGATCACATTTTTCCTTGTTTCTGCCTGATGTGTGCTAGTTTTTCTCAATTAAACAGATCTGACGTTCTAGGACAGTTCATGCCTTTGGTGGGGAGGGATTGGTCACAGACAGGTGTTGCACATCTCTTATCGGCTATCAAGGTTTGTAGACTTGATTCATTTTCTCTTCTCCCTTTTTTAGGAGGTTTATTCAGACTAACCGTGAGAAGTTATGCTGCCAATTTCATATTTATGGCAAGCAAATTGTTACTAGATCCAGGTCTTTAGTTCCAGTGTGGTCTTTATATTGTGGTAAAAAAAAGAATGTTCATTATATCGGGAACACATATTTGCGTTTTTGCAATGACTGCTAAGGTCAAAATGTTTCTACACTTACTCTATTTAAATATATTGTTTGGTTTTCCTCTGATAGTAGGATAAGAGTGTCTGATCTTGTCTTCTTTCTGCAGGAGAACGGTTATCAATTGCTTTTCTTGAGTGCACGTTCTATTTCACAGGCCTATCTGACTAGACAATTCCTGTTTAATCTTATGCAGGTATTTATATTAAGTGTACATTTCCTTTTCTCCTCATCCATTAGTTTGACTTCGTCTTTTGTGTTTTTGATAATTGCAGGATGGAAAGGGATTACCGGAAGGACCAGTTGTCACATCTCCTGATGGGCTTTTTCTTTCTCTATACAGAGAAGGTTGTTCCTTTCTTTATTCTGTGAAGAGTTCTCCCTTTAATTCTTCATTGCTCTAAACTATATCCAATTGAGTTGGTAATAATCTGTTTTCCCGTATTCGTGTGAACCATGATAAGTAGAATAAAACACAACCATCTTACAACATCCCGGTAGAATAAAAAGCTAATATAAATCTGTTTTTCTTTTAGAAATTTATTTATAGTGGCATGTTGCACTTTCTTTCATTATATAATTTTCAATTGGTGATGCAGGCATATCTTTGACGGAGAAGTAAGTTTTTGCTGGTGTTATTTGGTTACTACCACTCATTTTTATTGAACATATTTGCATTGTAGCGCCAATCTCACTACCTCATATTTTAACATCTCCATAGTGCCAGTTGTTCAGTTACTGCTCCAGTTTTTAGTAGGATATTTGAACTGAATTCTCCCTGAAGAAGTGCTTCGGATTTTGCTAGGAGTATGATTGAAAGGTGCATCTAACTCTTTTATCTTTTGCAGTGGTTAAAAGAGCTCCCCAGGAATTCAAAATTGCTTGCTTACAGGTCAATTTTTGATTCATTTTTTTTCCTCGTTACAGTATTTTTGCATATTAAGCAAAGAAGTTCTGCGTGCCCGCCAAAGCCATGAGGATGGGGAGGCCTTGGACTAATGCTGCAACCTAGTGATGATCTGCTTCTGATAAGAGTGCTTTTATCATTTAAAGGAATAAACAACTTACATCTACTCACTCTTGTTTTAAGGTGTATGAGAAGTTGGGTTGCTTGGTGTGTCCTTTGCTTAAAATATGACTGTGCAGAAACATCAAGATGTGGTTAATATAGTAAATAATCACAAGACGGATTGTATAATAAGATAAAACTTTAAATCATAACTTGGAGAAGGAAACATCTCTCACGATAAAAGCAACAGCGCTTTCTCCTTTGGTGCTTCATTCCCCCATCCTATTTACCAGAATTTTTCTCTTGGAATAATAATGTTTTGCAACTTCCTAAGGGCTGTGTAGACGTTTTAGTGACTAACTTTCGGCAATTCATCTTAGGTCATCTTAGCTTTGGCAAAAAATATAAATAATTAACATAGAGTCGACTTTCATATTGCAGGAAATCAAGGCATTGTTCCCTTATAATAGGAATCCGTTTTATGCTGGTTTTGGAAACAGGGACACTGACGAGATCTGCTACCTCAAGGTTGAAATACCTGAAGCAAAAATATTCACCATCAATTCAAAGGTATGTTGAAGTCAACTGAAAAGGGCCTTTTGCAAGTAGCAGTTTTTGATGATACTATTATGATGGTGTACAGGGTCAAATTGTGCTAAAGCGCAACACAGATACAATGTCATACTCCTGTCTACATGGTTGTGTTAATGACTTGTTTCCACCGATGTCCTCAGTGAGCAGGTTGGATTTCTTAGCTTTTCATTTGTACATAGATGATACTTGACCATATAGAAGGGGAGCCATGGCGTAACTGGTAAAGTTGCTTCTATGTAACCCGGAGATCACAAGTTCAAGCCGTGGAAATAGCCTCTTGCAGAAATGCAGGGTAAGGCTGCGTATTATAGACTCTTGTGGTCCGACTCTTCCCCAGACCTCGCGCATAGAGCGAGCTTAGTGCACCGGACAGCCCCCTTTTTATACTTGATTATTTAGTACTTAATAGAGCAAAGAGAAATTAATCTGTGATATCTCAAGTTTCAATTGTTTCCCTCACGGTTAGCTATCTTGACATGGAGCATCAGAGCGTTTTCACCATTACATTCATTTTAATGATCATCCGTCTTGTTTGTTCATAGGTGCAGCTTACGGAGGCTGACTATGTGAGTATAGCTTCTTGATCTGCATATCGCATGCAAAGAGAAAACACATGTGAGTGGACTCACAATGCGAACCTTTGTTGTATTTTTCTTTCCTTTTACGTTATTTGCATAAGGAGACGAGTTGGTAATTACATACTTTAAACTACACAGCTTTGGCTTAACCAAAGACAGCTTCACTTTAACTTGTATATATTGCTCATGGAAGTTACTAGCATGTAGCAATAGTTGCTTGTTGCTCATCTGCTCTGCGTTCATGTATATATACAATTTTCGGAGGAAATTACAAATAAGTTCCATAACGATCGAATTAGTTGGACTTTGTAAAATGTTGTAATAGTTCATAAGAAGCTGCAGAGGTTTTGGTATGTTATATGGGCCAAAAGTGTTATTACCATGAGGTAGTGTTTTCTTGCTTGATAATTTTAACAATGGAGTTCTATGTTTATTTTTATATGCTGCTCTATGGATTCATTAACTATTGGAAGAAAATTATGTCTCAGAATTTCTAATTGCTGGTAATATAATAGTACTTTAGATCAAGTTCTCATTCATAGGATTTTAGAGTGTTAGTAGATGAAAACCACCTCGATCGGATCAGAGTAATCAACAATTCGAATTAGGCTTCCCTTCACCAGCTTTCCCAAAATTAGGGGTGATATGATGCTTACTTCCCACGGAAACATTCAACCTATACCTATAGTGAAGTTGTTCGTCTATCTTTCTAATCTCCTTTCGTCGTGTTCATCATATTTTATGCTTTGACCTAGTGAAAAATGTTAGGCCAAAAAAGGAAAAGAGAGGAGAGCCTTAGGGTACGCGACGCAAATATATAGAGTGTGAAACTAAATGAAAAATTTAGTTTCGTTGCTTAGGGTGTGTTCGGTACGAAGGAAAATCTTTTTTTAAAAAATAAGTGAATTTCTTACTACAAAGGAGTGGCGGAGGAGGCTATAGGATGGGGTGAAAATGAGGTGTGGTGGAGGGTGGGTAGGACACACGTGTGGAACTTCTTGTTTTTTATTTAATAAGAAAGTTATTTTTATATCATTACAAAATTAATTTGATTTATGTAGGTTTGTGTGGTACTAACATGTTGGCAATTGTGTAATGACCACCTTGAAATCCACACATATATATATATCAAAATATAACTCTGTCTGTCGAAGCTTCAACAGAAATAGTTAGTTATTGTTACAACATATAAATATGAAAATTACTATGACACAATCATAATACCTGCGAAGGTCTAATAAAAATAGTTAGTTATTGTTACAACATACAAACATGAAAATTAATAAGACACAATCCTAATACCTAAGTGCTTCAACGCGAACTCGGCTAGGTTCATGATTTCATCCTCATCAATGGATCCATCGCCGTTAACATCAGCATATTTAACAGCCCGATGGACCTTTATCCGTCGGAACCATCCTCCGTTCGATCGGACCGCCTCTCGGAGATCTTCTTTGCTAATCTTTCCATCCTTATTTTCATCGAATTTCTTCAACCATCTCTTGAATTCTGCCAAAGTCATTTCACGTTTTCCATCGCTAGAAACGCTACGATATTCGATATTTTTGAATGCCATAAAGTGATAAAAAAAAATTAGTTTGTGATTGAGACGTAGTTATCGACTGTATAACTTAGGTAATGAAATGACCTCACATTTATAACAATAAAAACACATAGATGCTTCACGTTTACGCAACTGTGTAAATTATTTTATTATGGTAGAAAAATATAATGTCACTTTCACTGCTAATGGAATAAGTTAATGGATTAAAAAGTGTGACAAGTGAGTATAGTTTAATTTGTTAAAATCAAATTTAGATCATATTGTCCAACTTTGAATATTTTATTGTTAATCTATTCGAAAAGACTCAAGTTTAATCCTAAATATAGGAAGGCAACTACTATACGAATATCTCATTATCGAAAATCGATTGTTAGCTGATTAAAAGTAGTTAATAATTATCCTATCGAAAAATGATTTTATACTAATATATTTGAATAATTGTGCTGAAATTGACCGTTCATGTTAAAATGGTTGAAATGTTCATAAAGTTCCTAAAAACATATACGAATCTAAAGGTATTTTAAATATTAAAAGAAGGATGAATAACTAGAATGAAGAAATAAAAGATAATTATAACTTTAACTTTTAAACCCGTTTTATTTTATTTAACTTGAAATACTTTTTTTTCTTCAAATATCACCCAATTCATATCGACGCAGCTACTTAATTACTAGTTACTACAACCAAAAGCTTACATAGTCTTACTCTGAAAACTCAAAAGCATATATATATCCATATCGATCATGGACTAACAAGAAAAAAAACAAACTATCAATTACATTCAGTTACCATAAAACACGATTTATTTATTTAACAATCTTGAAGGTCAATTATAAGTGAAATACACTTATAACTAAACTCCTTGTACTAGTTGGAACAAGCATTTCTTAGCCTATAACCACGTTTTCTTGCATACTCAACAAGTTTATCCAACTCTTTCTTATCAATAAGCCCATCACCATTTTTATCAGCCCGGTGAAGGGCTCGGCCCGCTCGATATCCCGGAAAAGTGGACCCCAGCTGCCGGAATGCCTCCGTGAGATCCTCTTTAGTGAGGTAGCCATCTCTGTTGAAATCACATTGTTTGAAGATATTTGTCAATTGAACTTCAGTCAAAGGTACTTGTCCACAGGTACATCGTATAATGTTCCTGGGGCGAAAAAAATCAAACATATTGTAATTTTTATCCGAACAAGATTTTTTTTAATTTTTTTTTGGTATTTGAGTATGAATTCTCCGATGGATGAGGAATTAAGTACAAATGAAATTAAGATTATATATATAACTACTGTTCTAGTGGATGCAGCATCTTTTCATCGAAACTTTATTCATATTTTTCGATTAAATTATTTGATCAAGTCCTTGATAATATGGAATTTGTGAGATTTGCCCCCTCAAGTTTTAGAATTTGCAAAAACTTTCTGTTTTGTGATGATAGGGACTTTTAACTTTTTATAAGAATCTAAGACCTTTGACTGAGAATGAAACAGTCTTGCCACAACGTATGATTGTTGCAGTAATCGTCTTTGATGAACGACATAGGTAGCTGTTACTAAGAATCGAATCAAATTAAAAGAGTGGTATACAACGTGTATCATGAAGAATATAATGCTAGGTCCAGGCTTCAAACACTCAACTGGATAAGAGTGACTGTAAATAAAAATATACTACTGGTATTATTTTTATTTTTAGTTAATACTTTCTTATAAGATTTCATTTTTATAATATCCTTATCTTTATTGTTTGGTTTATGATATAATTTTTGGGAAAACTTAGTGGGAAAATATCCTTCTAATACTAATCTAACGTAGAATCTTATTCTCTGTGTTCGTTATGTTACTTTATTTATGTTTTATTGTTTTGTTATTTAATCATAAAACTTTGTAGTATAAGATAATTTGATTGAAGAAGTTATATTTATATGAAGAAAATTTTCTCTCTTTTATTGTTTTTTTTGTTTACCTATTCGTATATTATACGAAAATGGAATAAGTGTTAAGAGTAAACGAAAAAAGGCTAAGCTATTGGAGTGCTAAAAAGTAACAATAGAAATGCTACTACCACATGAGTTGTGGCGTAGGGATATTACTTTTAGTCAGATGTCTCGGATTTATTGAGTAGTACGATTGACAATCCGAATTTAATTGAGATTCTGATTCAAACTCCCAACGCCAAGTGAAAAAACAATAACAAAAAAAAGAAGAAAGCTATGGGCCTATAACAAAACTCGCATAAAGAGAAAATGATGATCAAACCATGCATATAGTCATATTAACATTTGACCATATTCTAAAACCCTAGAAAATCCAAAAAAGTAATGCAAATTATTAACGTACATATAATTATATATTTACTTCTTAGTTCTTACAACAACCGGGAGCTAGTGTATACCCATGTTTTCTTGCATACTTAACAAGTTGATCCAACTCCATGGTACTCATATCAATACGTCCATCGCCATTCTTATCAGCATGGTGAATAGCTCGAGCAGCTCGCCATCTCGGGGCGTTGGAGCCTAGCTGCTGGAACAACTTCTTCAGATCTTCTTTGTTGAGGTAATTGTCACCGTTGGAATCATACATTTTTATAATATTGATTAGTTGTTCATCAGACAAATGTACATGACTACAGGGACACTTTATCTTGTTATTCCTACTAGGCCTAAAAAAGCTCAACATATTTTAAATTTAATATGTATGTACGTGTATATATGAATTTTATGTGTTAAGAGGGAAAAGAAGAGGCAAAAAATTTTTATAAGAGGATGAGTATTTTACACAAACTACATGCAAGGAGTTAGGAATATATATATATATAACAAGTTTCTCACTGAGGAGTAAAACTTTTTCATTTGCCCGTCTTGACCACTCGTTTCATGACAAGTCAGATATGCTTAAGTGGTTGAATATCTTCATCATCAATCAACAAATTAAGGATTTGAATCATGTAGGAGGATATGTGAAAACACTATTGAGTCTGATCATAAGCTACAATATATGTTCAAATTTACATATCTAAAATTATATATAAAAATATAATAAATCATTATAATTATAAGAAAAACTCCTTTAATTTTTTTAAGTTCGTACAATGCTACATAAATTAGAACGAAAAGAACATATATTGTAAGCTTGTTTGCTTACAACAAATATTTATTCCTCCATTCTTGGTTATGGTCTTTGTGGAATCACCTTAACTAACTTCTTTTTGACTAAATTACTCTTTTTGACTAATGTTATCTTTACTATTGTTATATGGAACTTTTTATGTTTTGAGAATCAAACAGATTAAGTTTGATTGAAAATTTGCATATGAAATCTTCAATTATTTTGAAATGAAATTTATATATTTGTAAACTACATAAAAAGTACTATAAATCACAATAATTGATAATCGAATTTTAAAAAACCTATGACAAAATTTATGATCAAAGATAGACTTGTTTGATTCTTGAAATTCGAAAATGAACATATAAAATTGGACGGAGATAATAGTACTGAAACGATATAAGAAGTCCCTTTAGATTATGAAATTTGTTAGGTTTCAAATGCCCTGTTTTGCATAATGTTTTTCTTAAAAGAGAAAGGGGCAAAAAAAATGGAATATGTTCTCAATTTTCTTTACATTTAAGCTTCTTACATATTTTCTAAAAATAATTCTTTCCAAAATTCGTTGCAAATTTGTAATTTTAGTGTTATTTTCATGAATCATCCCGTGGGACCAAAAAGCAACACATATTTCCGAAAATATATAGAAATATGAATTATGTGTGATTTTTTAAATTTTTATTCAGAAAAGTCTTGGTAAAAATATTGCTTCTAATATTGAGCTCAATAATATATAAATTAATCAAATTTTAACATAAATATTCACGCAGAAATATATAAAAAAACAAAATAATGATTAAATTGAAAATCTCTTTAGAAATAAAGTGATATAATATGAATTTCTTTTACCGGCAACATTAATACGCAAGCCTGATGATGTCATTATACATGATATCAGTAATAGAGAAAAAGTAAGTATGAATATTATTTTTTCCATCCATTTTTTAGGGAAAGAATAAAAGGACAACTAGACACAAATTAATTAAATAATGATATTTATTGTTTTTAATTAATTAAATTGTAGCTCAACCAATTAAGGAAATAAGGTCAATGTCCAATTTATAATCGTGATACAAATATTTATCAATGTAAGACATCTTTAATATTATCAAATCATTCAAAAAAAAAGAAGATAAAATATACTAGCTATAAATATAACCTAAACTTCTTTATATATAGTTCATCCTAAAATAAGTGGATGCAACATTTCGAATTCACACGAGTTCAATATATTTATATGTAAAACTTTTTTTAAAGTTATAACTATTATTATATTTGATCTTGAGATATCAAAAGTACAATAAATTCAATATTAAAAAATCTTAAATATCGAATACATTAAATTTAAATTCTAAAACTATCGTTACAACATGGTAGGTAATAACCTCACCTTTTCTGGGGAGGATTTGGGCTCAAGAAGAACTTATGCCTTTCCTAATCCATTTGAAGATAAGTGGGAATCGGGTTCATATATATATATATATATATATATATATATATATATATATATATATATATATATATATATATATATATATATATATATATATA